TTGCGTTGGCTTCGGAGGTAGACGGGTCGGCGTAGCTAGGCCACGCACTAGGACACCGTACCGCCCTTCGGTCATGCGTACGCAGTGGGGCAACAAAAGGCGAGCGTTCGCCTCGGGCACGAGGCGTCGTCAGCGAAGTCCGATGAGCCCTGAGCGTTGGGAGTCGACGGACGGAAAAGATTGCGTGGCTCACCGTTCGCAGCCCCGGAGAGTATCTGTCCGCTCCTGACGCGGCGACAGAACACCTACCAGTGACGCAGCGCACGAAAACCTCTCGGGAGACTCCGCGCACAGCACCACAGTCTACATCCGCTACCGGGTGAGGAAGTTAAACGTCACAACGCTCTCCCAGCGCGGCAGACAGCAAAGAAGGGCAGACATGTCGGGACATGAGAACGGCAGAAAAGGCGGCAAAGCCCGCGCAAAGAGAGCGGGCTAGCCTCAATTCCCACATCCCCCTCTCCTAAGTTTGCCCTTTACCGGTCTGCAAAAGGCAGCCGGACGTCAACCATGCAGTTAAAATCACACTGCTATGAGCGACAGCTAAGCTCAGTTCAGCCCTGTTACTGCTGCTAAAAAATGACGACAAAGGAGAAACAAAAACATAAATAACAAAATCAACACATGACACTATAAAACAATTGCGAAAGGGAACACAGGGAAGTGGGACTAGTGTTCATGGTGCTGAAGCGGGATAGCGCCCACTGCGCGGAAGGGCGTGACAGTGTCCCCTGGTTGCGATGCCCGAGTGTGAGGTCAGAGGCACGGAAGGGGCTCACTAATGGCTCATTGCTGCTCTTGTTTAGCTGCGAGTCCCACGAACGCCGCCTCGGTTGTGGTTCGAAGGCCCCGCATTTCTGGCTCGATGACGGGGCTGGGACGTTGCGGGAGTCGGGCCTCTCCAGTCAACAGGGAGGCCGAACCGAGATTGGCTGCGAGGCGCCCTGGCGATAGCTGCTTTCAGCTGGCCTCGCGCAGGAGCCATGGTGGGAAAGGCAGCAGGGCTTCTTCAACGACAGCTGAGAGCAGAGCACAACCAGACGATCTGACGTCAGTGGGTCAATGCCCCCCAGCACCTCCAGTGTCCGCGTCGATGGGGGGAAGCCATGACGCACTCTTCACGGGCACGCACGGAAGCGTCACACAGTTACATGCGCACAGAAGCAGGCACACACACACCGCCGACGGCTGCGCGAGCGTAGGCACAAAGCGTCCGTCGTCTCTCTCTCCCGGCAAGCACCGACACTCAAGGTCACACACAGCTCCTTTCGCGGTAGACGAAATGAACACGAAAAAAAAGTAAAAACAGAGCAAAATGACACTCAACATCTGGCCAACAGAAAGTAAAAAACATAAAATACAAAGAAAAACTTATTATTAGACAAAAGAAACATAAAATACACATTAACACTTAAAAAAAAGAAACACTGGCACCAGACTGGGCGGGGTCAACTTCTTTACGAGAAAAGGCCGTAAAGAAGCTAACCTATACTAACCTATACTGAAACTAGACAGTAAACTGAGGGCCTTCGGTTGCGGAGAAGTCCCCCGTCTGGCCCGAAATCACTAAGGTGACCGCTTCCTCAGATTATACCGGTGCGGGGTCCGAATGCGGTCCGCCGCTCCGGGTGTGCCCCGTTGCTTGCACGAAGTGCCGCAGGGCTCTGGCGCGAGCTCGTCAAACCGTGATACAAAGGGTTTCAGGCCTGCGATATGGGCACGGCTAAGTTTTCCCATATGGGGATCTTTCAGCAAGTACGCGAGTGGAATGCAAGATTTCTCCACTCGGTACGGACCAAGCCACTTAGGAGCGAGCGAGGTTGAGAACCCCCCCCCCCCCCTTACTGGCATCGCTAAGAGCGTGGTTGTGCTTCAGAACAAGATCGGCCACCTCAAAAACTAGGTTGCGATGCTTGCGGTCATATTGGGTCTTCTGCTGAGCCCTGGCCGACGCCAAACTTTGCCTTGCTTTGCAGAAAGCTCGACAAAGCCTGTCCGGAAGTGCCGACGCGTAAGCAGAGTAGTCTGCCGGCGCCTCCTCGTCCTCGAGCTGGCATTGAGTGACGCTGGTCACCGGAATTGCCAACTCCCTTCCAAAATTTAAGAAGGCGGGCGAGAAACCAGTTGAGCGACTCTCGGATGTTCGAATAGCGAACGCGAGCTCACTCAAATGGTCTGCCCAGTCTTTTTGACTTTCGGCAAAGGCCGCCAACATCGGTTTGAGCGTACGATTGACGCGCTTCGTCAAATTGAACTGGGGATGGTAGGGTGAAGTGGTGCAGTGATCAATTCCGAGGGAACGGCACGTGACACCAAACACCCGAGCAGTGAAATACGAAGCACTGTCAGTGATGAGCCTTTCCGGGAAGCCCCACCGGCAAAACACTTCCTGCAGCTTCTCAAGCACCGCTCGCGCTGTCACCTTCCGAAGTGGGAAAAGTTCCACCCATTTCGAAAAGTGATCAACGACTACCATCAGGTGAATGAACCCCTACTTACTTCCAGGAAATGGTCCCATTAGATCGCAGATCTAATGGGACCATTTCCCAGATCGCAGGTCTAATGGGACCGACTGTCTCCGCTATGGCGTTAGACAGTCGTCAAAACGCCTCCTGCTGCTCAAGTCCCCACGGCCACTCAGCAGACTTACCCAAGAGAGTTTGCTCAAGGGCGCCTGCAGTCGGGCACAGGACGGAATGAAGGAATGGTAAAAGTTGACCATTCCTAAAAAGCGGTGAAGGCCACGTACGTCCTTGGGCACGGGAAAATCGAGAATAGCTTGAAGTTTCTCCCGATCCGGCTCTATGGAGCCTTCGCCCAGCGTAAACCCGAACAACTGAACACGGGTCTGCACTAATTAGACTTTAGCGGGGTTTAATGTCATCCCGGCGGTCCTCACCCTCTCGAGTACATCGACAACATGGGCCAAGTGCTCGTCGAAGGTTCGTAAATAAATCACGATGTCGTCGAGGTAGCACATGCAGTATTACCACTTTGCTTCCCCGAGGACGCGGTCCATGAGTCTTTAATATGTCGCAGGAACATTGCAAAGACCAAAGGGCATACGAGTAAACTCGAACAACCCTCTGTGGGACGTGAACGCAGTTTTACACTGGTCACGGTTACCCATCCGGACCTGTAGGTAACCTTTAGAGGCGTCAAGCGTGGTAAAGTACCGTGCATCACCCAGGTTACCTACGATGGAGTTTACCGTGGGGAACGGATAGGCGTCCTTACGAATCACTCCATTCAGACGGCAATAGTCGACGCACAGGCGATGACTGCCATCTTTCTTAGGCACCAGCACAATTGGAGACGCCCAGGAGCTAGACGAGCGGCATAATGCCAGCCGCAAGCATGTCATCTAGCAACCCATCGGTAATCTGCCTTTTGGCGAGACTGACGAGCCTGGGGTTACACTTCAAAGGAAGCGCATCACCAGTTTCGATCACATGGCTCACTAAATCGGTGCAGCCAGATTGATCGGTGAAGAGCTCGTCATACTGACGTAACAGTGTCGACAGACGAGCCTTCTGTGCTTCATCCAACTGAGTCGCGCAGGCGACCAAAGGATGTAGTGCCTCTTCGTGTCGTGCCGGTCGATCCACACAGAAGTTTCGAGCCGACGAGCGCGGAACGCCAGGGTACGACCCCGGAGTTGGCGCACGACACGGTTCGCGCCGCGCCTCTCGTTCCCGAAGGGGACTGTGAGAGGGCAAATGCGTTGAGCGGGGGCTTGGCCCCGAACTCTGCGCAGGGCACGTTTCCGACGCTTCTGCCGCAAAGGCGACGGTAAGCGCCGGCGGACTGATGAACGGCTTGAGTTGTCATGCGGATGTAAGTCATGCGGATGTAATTTCCCATCAGCCGCTTTTAGCTCTGATGAGTGATATTCCTTGTTATCAGTTACTGAAGTTTGAGCTGGATGGGCTAGCGTTCGTTTCAGCTATGTCAAATAATTTGTGCACCCAGACGAAGAATCACTTATTACAATGTCCAAGTCAACTGCATTATGTTGGCAAAGCAAGGCACGAGTGCATTCATTTGCTAGTCACGCCCCCTTGCGCTAAACATAATGAATTTTATTCCAGAAATCTTTAGAATATCGATAGTGACAAAAATACCACCAGGAGGTGGCACAATTATGAAAAGTGTCTATACTGAAACAATGCCAATTAGGTTTAACAAAACTCTGAAGGCCAATGTAGAACCAATATTTCTGGAAATGTTTGCCGACCTTGGGTCTAGATCGGTACATGCTGTCCGAGTAAGATTTTTGTTTATAACATGAATTACCACAAGTTTATAGTGACACTGAATGCAGTTGAGGAATCTGTAAAAAGTACAGCTTTTACAGCAGAGTTATGCTCGAGGCTGACCGTGTGTCATAGATTGTCAGTGTCATGAACTAGCAAGCACTTTCCTGATCATCTGCTTTGCTGCCAGAACACATGCACAGATTTATCATTCACCGGATGCAATAAGTCTGGTGGGTGGATGCATGAGTACAGAGAGAGAGAGAGAAAGAAAATTTTTGGCGAGGTGAGATTCAAATGGCCGTACCCACAATAAAAAGGCGAGTGGACAAACCCCTTGGCTTTCCAGGCACGCTAGCAGAGCATAGCACATCCTTGTATAATGTAGTAATATAGCAGTACAGGAAATGCTGGTGTGTAGAAGGGCAGAACTGAGAAAGGGAAAGAAATAGTAGATTGGGGGTGGGGAGGGAAGCAGGTGTGAGATTTTAGAGGGAGAAGATGGCAATCATATAGTAAAGCATAGCTTGGCAAGGAGTGGCCAAAGCCTAGCTGCAGGTGCCCACCACCGGCTCTGCTGACCCAGCCATGTGCGACAAAACAAAAGCAAGTAGCACCAGTCCTGTCTCATTTTCTCACCCTTTGGTTTTCATCACATGCCAAGAATGCTTCATTTGCCTCTACAAGAGGGTGCTGCAGCAAAATTAAGGCCCAGAAGTAATGGATAAGTGTGGAATGAAAAACCTCAAGAATGGCATAGTCCCGTGGTCCTGAGATGTGCAGAAGTGTCCCCACGGGGTGCAGGGTGCGCAACATCACCGAGAAAGAGAGTCGTCGATCCAGTGATTGTGACAGCACGTAGTGAGCGTAGCTCTGGCCACCAAAAGAGATGGGCCGCTTCTCTGCAAAGGGAGGCAGAATATGGAACAACCACTTCAAGGGGCACAACACTGACTTCGCAGCAGTCATAATCAGTGAAGGGTTTCGTCATCAAGCACTTACAGGAATGAAAATTCAGGTGAGCTCGTCAGCTTCAGTCTCATAATGCAAAAAGATATTAAGCTGAGTAAAAACAAATGCCAGAACGAGGACGAACTTCAAACAGATGTTTACACTTAACAAAAGTACTTTTCTTTTTGTGCATTAATGCAAAGAAACCATCAGGCCCAAGCAACATTTCAAATGGGTGCTCAAACCACTAAAGCATCCACTAACAAAACCAATCACTCAGCTTCGGGAAATAAATATGAATTCACTTAATCAGAATTCATGCACGTTTACAAGATGAAAATTCAAGGGTTTTTAATATGTGAGGGCTAACGTCCCAAAACCACCATATGATTATGAGAGATGCCGTAGTGGAGGGCTCTGGAAATTTTGTCCACCTGGGGTTCTTTAACATGCACCCAAATCTGAGCATACAGGCCTACAACATTTCCGCCTCCATCAGAAATGCAGCCGCCGCAGGCGGGATTCGATCTCGCGACCTGCGAGTCAGCAGCAAAGTACAATTAGTCACTAGACCATCGCGGCGGGCCATTCAAGGGTGTTCAAGGAACGTATTGCAGTACAACTGACAGCTGGGTGAGTTGGTATGTATCCGTATAACTTTCTCGAGCACACACAGAACAAGAAAGGGAAAGACGAGTGCTCACTTTTAATTAAATTATTTTCGAAAGGAACAAAGTATCTGGGAACCAGCATAGCACATGTGCAAGTTAGACACGGGAATGTAAAAAAATAGGGCTAAACACAATTTTACAAACTGTGCTCCATTTCTGTTAAAGCCACCGAAGGTTGATTTATCCATTTATTTTTACAGCTATTTAATGCAAATGAGTTCATAAGTCAACCTTAGGTGGTCTCAACAGATAGGGAGTACAGTTTTTAAAATTATGTTTAGCCCTACCTTTTTATGTTCGTGAGTCATATAAATTGCACATGTACTATGCTGGTTCCCAGGTGCTTTTAAGTTTTGTTCGTTTCCAAAATAAATTAGGCGAGGGTTAGCGCTCGCCTGTCTCTTTTGTGTTGTGTTTTGTGCGCGCTAGAGAAGTTATATTATGGGCTTTCGAGGACCTTTAAGGCTACATGTGTGAATTTCCAAGGACTACATTGTCTGTTAGAAACTCAATTGAAGCATCTTAAGGGGAGGATGGAGGCTTGAAATAACTAGAACCTTGCTGGAGCAAACATCGAAAACATGGCTCCGATAACACTTTCTTTCTAGAGAACTTTCAGTCATAGTTTCTTAGAGTTGCATAGATAATCGCTTTCCGTATGGCACAAGATGCAAACTTTTATTCAGATAGACATAGCTAAGAAACAGCTATGCCACTCCTTGCTGCTTCATCTAAATTTTCATGTTCACTATCTCCTGCTTTTTGGTGCTGGCAGTCTTCCTAAAGCTGCTCGGCTTGATAATGCACGTCAGGTCACTAGGTGAGTCTTGCTTTTACATATGAGTCTGCTACAGCAGTGACATCTAGTATCTTTTTATTTTTTGTGAACATTCTGACCTCCTCCTCAATGCAACATATCTTTTTCGCATCCTCCTGCTCCCGCTTTTTGCGAGTTTCGTAAAATGCGCAGAGCTGTCTACTGCGGTGGGGCAGTCGTTACGGTGCTCAGCTGCAGACCTGATGGTCGTGGATTCATTCAAGGCTGCGGTGGTTGTGTTTAGATGAAAGCGAAATGTTAGAGGCCCGCGCAGTGTGCGATGTCAGTGCATGTTAAAAAACACCAGATGGCCAACCTTTTCTGAGCCTTCTACCACAGGGTCTCTCATATTCATCTCTTAGTTTTGTGACGTAAAACACCAGATATTGTTGTTACTAAAAATGCATGGTATCGCTTCCTGGCAGAAGCTACTGAGGTTCTCAATCATTTTATGATGGGCACATTACATATGCCACCTGCTCATTTACGGCACCACAAATAATGGTCTGTAAAATGTGCGAAAATGTTTATTAAAAGTAAAAAAAAAGGAAATTCAAGAATTTTCAAGAACTTGCGGAAATTCCAGCTCTTCATAGGTTTTGAAAAAAAACTTTTCAAATTCAAGGGTTTTCAAGGGTTTCAAGGACCTGCATGAACCCTGTTAATTTGAACACAGTAGAAATGAGAAGTCAGAGTGGGTTTTAACCTTGATACAAGAATATACATAGTGGAGTCCAAACAAGCCACTGCTCTCAGAATACATGGATACAGTTGAGCATACAAGCACGCGGCACTTATTAACATGCGAAACAAGCCAACACAGTGTGAGAACATAGCACACACGAAACAACAAAACTCATACAATGTACCCCAAATGCAATGTTGCCAATAGTATTATACTCACCAAGACGATTTGGGAGAATATTAAAACAAGACGCTCCGCACAATAAAAGCAAAAAGCAAGATGCTTTGGCCCCCGTACAGGAGCGTCGCTAATATACGACAAATGAGAAATATTTCATTTCGAAACAAGGTCGAAATGTCTTTCCTTTTGCTTTTATTGTGGTCAGCATTGTGTTTTATATTCATGTCTGTTCCTGACAAAACAGATTTCTGTCAAACTATCAGTTTTAACGCTATGTATACTCGTACTGCTTGTTGTGCAGTTACCCAAGATGAAAGACCACCTATAATGTGGTTGATGGAAAATCTTCGTGACAAACGTAATAGCGAGTGCATTTCTCAAAGGAAGTGCGCTGGGGGCGCGGCTAGGGAGCGAGTGACAAGGTTGTTACTGAGGAGCTAGAACGCAGAGCGAACGAACCAGGGGTAGAATGAAAAAAAAAGAGGAGGAAAAAAAAGAGGACTATGATAGCAATGCGCGGGCTTGTTGAGTGAGAGGAGGGCGATTGCCTAGGCCTTTTAGGTGACGGAGAAGTCTTTACACCAGCACTGCCAAGCCGGTTGCTGGCCGCTTGCTAGCTGCGTGTGCTATGCGGGGCACATTGTGAGAATTGAGGCTAGCATGTGGGCTTTGCCACCTATTTCTGCTGTTTCAGTGTCCTGACATGACTCTTCCCCTTTACGATCTGTCAAAGCGAAGAGCGGGAGTGAGTATTAACCCCTCTCACCTGGTAGCGAATGTTGACTGTGATGCCACGTGCGGAATCTCTCAGAACATTTTGTTCCTACAGAAATTATGTTCCCAGAGAACGCATTTCTTTTCCGTCCGCCGGCTTCTTTTGTTTGGAGCTTGTTCGGACTTCGTCAACGACGCCTTGCGCCCGCAGTGCATGCTTACCTTTTGTCGCCCCCCCTTTCGAACACTGGGCCGAAGAGCAGTGCGGTGTCCTAGTGTGTGGTCATATTACGCCGACCCGTATCTCTTGAAGCCAATGCGAGTGGCGTTTTTGCTTTTGCCCTCGCTCGAGCGACCGAGCCCTTTGTCCTGATGTCATCGTGAATTACATTTGCCCACGTATACATGCTCGCGACAGCCTGCGTAGTACTTCTCACTTTTGGCGTGGGTAAGCCCATTTGCTTTTCCGCTGTCCCTGCTGCAACGGACTCTGTACTTGGTTTTTGGTGTTGCGACCTTGAGCAGTACCGTGTTCTTGCCACGGCGACGGTTAACGCGTGTCCTGGGGCTCACTAAGACTGGACTCGCGCTAGTTGCCATACTCATTCGGGATTCGTATACACTACAACGTGCAATAGCATTTTTACCAAGCACACCACAGCACCATTGCACTTTGAGTTTTCTGTCAAAAAAAGCATTGTCGTTATTGCACTAGCTACAGATATTCCGTTTGCTAACTTGCCCATAATTTTGAAGTTTTATGGGATTATGATGCGAGCTTTTGCCTTTGCTGCTAGTGCGTGAACTTACAAAAGCTGGCGAGCTTTTGTCATCATTTATCTGCAGCTGCAAGTACAAGCACAGTATCATGCATGCTGCTATTGGTTCGAATGTTGAGTGTGATTTTTTTGATGCTTGATCTTCATGTTGTCTTCGACAAACTTCCCACGACAACATGCCGAACAGCAGTCTAGGTGTAATCATCAGCTTTCGCTTTTCGGTAGCAAATAGTTTTCATTTGTCATTTGTTAGCAAGGCTCCCGTACAGGAGCCCAAACGTCTTGCCGTTTGCTTTTATTGTGATTAGCATCTTGTTTTAATCATTTTCATGCATGAGGTTCTATGAGAGAGTAAACAGAAGCCGAAAAAGAGTGTGTTGTAACCGGTCCTGCACTACAAGTGGTTTTGTTGCAAATGACCTGCACTGTAATTGCTCTGTATTCGACACTGTGCTAAGCTATGTGGCAAGAATATGGTGGTTGCACCTTCCCACTGCTTCTTACTGTTAAGGCTGCAATAGAATGTAAGCATCATTTCAAGTGCCGCTGCCATTCATGACAAGCCCACCTGGCCAAGAAAGGTGCTGAGGTGTTGTTGCCAGATCAAATGATATTGCTTTAGCGCAGCTCAGTTTGAGTGTGAAGAAAAGATGCTATATGGTCAAAAAGACGACAGTATGAGCACTAACTTCCAAAAGTTGGAAGTTAACGCTCATACACTCTGTTTTTTTCCCCCTTCTTGCCTGTATACCATCTTTCTTCACGCTCAAACTGAGCTGTTTTAAAGCTATACCATTTTATCAAGTAACAACTCAACCAGTCAGCAGCACTTGTGAATGTTGTTGCCCGCACACCTCCTCTTCATCCGAGCACGTGTACAATGACTTCTGTCCCTCCGAGTGAGCTTTTCTTTCACCACTATCAGCAAAACACAGGCCTTTCCAGCCTCTCTTTCTCTACCAGCACCACTCAGATTCAACTCAGCATGCTACTGAGCTCTGCTGAGTGATTCGATAGCACTTGACGAAGGGTCAACTAAACACTGCTTCGCTGTTAAAACAAAAACCTTGACTTTGATTAAAATTAATTGAGTATGGCACACATTTAATTGCACAATGACATCATCATTGCATCTAGCACTACTGTTGCTCATCACTGTATATGCCTGCAGCTCAAGATGCCGTCTGTGGTGCATCTGCAAACGAGCTCATAATCCTTCAGTTCTATCGCCACACATTAAGGAGGGCATCCCCTGGGGTTGTAGACTGGACATCATCTCACCTTCATAACAGGTGGGCTCCTGACAGTGGACATTGCACTGGGGCCCACTTCGTCCAGACGGGCACTGGCAACTGTAGCCCAGGAGAGATGCATCAGGCACACAGTGGCGCTCAGCAGCACAGGGCTGCTGGGCACACTCGTCCACAGCTGCTTCACAAGTATCGCCTGCATAGCACAAATGTAACATTTTTTGCTAAGCACTGGGCAAACAATGCACGATTATTCACAGTCTCATGTCCATGGCCCACACAGCAATGCAGTTGTGTCTATTGTAATATTCCGAGCACCCCACACGATTCACTCCTGCTCCACACTGAAAAAACAGTCTGAAAAATCCGTCTGAAGTAGCGAGCATCTGGTCTCATATGAGTGACGCATATATTTATAGAACTAGGTGACAAGTCCACTTTACCCATATTTCCCAGTTAATGAGAGTCAACTTTACAAGCTTTTACTGTACTATACTTCATCTCAGCAACTACTTTGCAGTGTTGCCAATGCTACCAGTCATATAGCAAGCCTTGTGCTTGCTCAGCAAAACATAGTTTCATACGTACCTAAAGAGAACTACCAGACAACCAATAGAAGGAGAGCACAGAACATGTTACTTGTGGCAATTATGATATAAATCTGAACAAAGTTAAACTGAACAAAAAGATAACTTCCCGCTAGCATGATTCGAATCACCATCACTGAATGTGCCTGACGCTCTACCGATTGCAAGTAGAGCAACAGATAGTCCCTGCCAGCTGCAAGTTAACCTTTCACAAAGTTAAATTTTTTCACATTTATACCCTAATAACTTCAAACAACATCTCCTATACTTACCTTTGCTTGATTGCTTGCGACTTATTTTTAAGTACATATGAAACAGTTTTGCTGTGCAAGTGCGAGGCTTGTTATAGGCCTGGTAGCCAGCACTGCAAAGTAGTTTTTGAGATGGAGTATAGTACAGTAAAAGCTTAGAAAGTTTACTCTCATTAACTAGAAAATACGGGTAATACGGGTAATACGGACATGTCATTTGGTCCCATAAATATATGCATCACTCATATGAGGCTGTATGCTCACTATTTCAGACAGATTTTACTAAATACAAGATAATTAGGGCAATTGTGGCCAGCTACAAAAGCTTTAAAATGAAAGATAAACACAGCACGAACGTGAAACCAAAATGTATGAACACTATAATAGGGTCATTTTGATGCTTTGTTTGTGCCCTGCATTCTTGCATACCGTTACATTAAGAAATATTTAATTTAGTATGACTCATTTATCAAATTTGATTGTTGGTGCTTTCCTGTAGTGTACCTGTACGCACCTAGTGTGCACCAACAGAGTTGCCATAGGTTGTGAACTTGCGCATTACTCTCAAAAAAGTAAACAGATGGCCACTGTATTTACATACGTCATTATATGTCTGTTTTGGGCTAGTTCACATTTTCGTAGTGAAATTAGCAACGTTTATCATACGTGTGGTGGCTGAATTCTAAAGCGATGTCGAATAACTGCTGTGGAGTGAAAGGTCAAACACCTAAAAAAAATTGCCGGCGACACCGTTTTACTTATTTACTACAAAGCCTTATGAACAAGAGCCACAAAAGCAATGTATTGCTGCTGTTTTTCGGGAAAGACGAACCACTTCATCAATGTGCAAGTTGATGAGTCGCCGCTTGTTGTCATGCTTTTGTTCAGCTATATCAGAGCTCGTTGGATACACTCAATCATAGTAACACTGGTGGGTGACAAAAGTCATCACGGAGCAAGCATGTGGTGGTCCAATTCAACCTCCATGCAAGAGCACTTTGCTCAAGCTTTCTAAATTTATTATGTACAGAAACAGCAATGCCAGAATGTTTGACGTCAGGAAGAACAAGAAGTGATTGAGACGTCACTTTTGTACAACACTGTCGAAATTTGGGCTTGTTGGTGCATTGTGACGACTGAAAGTAGCGCTAAGAAACGGGGACACAAGAAGAGGACACACGGCACAGGCGCTAACTTCCAACATAATGTTTATTACCACCGCACGCTCGCCTATATCACCAAAAAAAATATATCACATGACATGAATGATGCGCACATAAAATTAAAGTCTTAGAAAATACAATTCTTTATCACTAAGCGTAAGAGAGGGAGTGCTGACGCACTTAGACCCCAGTGAAGCGATAGCCTCAGCCTCAATAATCTCTCTAGTAAGCTTATCAAACATTCTCTTGATAACTGTGCATGCATTGAATATCGGCGCGCAGCCGCAGGATTTACAATGTATGGCCAACCAACTCCCCTGGCCGTTTTTCACATTATTACAATGTTCTCTTAATCAATCATTAAGGCAACGGCCCGTCTGTCCAATATACTCTTTACCACAAGAAAGTTTATGTTTATGTTCCCTGCATCATATGCGTTGTTTATCGTATCCCGCTGATAGTCAAGGACTATCAGACCCAACTAGTGGGTCTGATAGTCCTTGAGCCAGACCAGTGGCCGGCGCTCTCGGGACGGCCGATGGGGATGCTGCACGGCCGGAGATGGTAATGAGCTTGTAGAGCTCTGTAGTACGCCAGGAGACTGCGATTGCGGCCCAGGAGAAGGCGGCGGCAGCATGGCAGGCTCTGGTACAGGCAGCTGCGGATCAGGAGCAGGCGACTGCGGTACGGCAGACTGCAGTACGCCAGGAGGGGGCGACTGCGACCCGGGAGAAGGCGGCGGCAGGGCAGGCTGCGGCACTTGAACCGGAAGCTGTGGCGCAGGTAGCTCCGAACGTTGGTATGGTGGACTCGTGCCCCTCTCAGGAATTTGGGAAAGCTTGGAGGCGTTCCATGTGCGGCCGTCTGCAAGTCGGAAAGAGGCAGGTCCCCTCCTCCCCAACACCTCAGTTGGCGAGGAAAAGGAGCGATTCCCCTTGAAGCGAACGGACGGCTTCTTGATACGAACGAAATCACCCACAGCTATCTTTGGCTGCTTAGCAGCTCTCCTGCGGTCCGTGTACTCCTTACTGCTTTGCTGTTGAAGCCGGACTCTTTGGCGCAGTCGCGCCAGTTCCTTTGCTGGGTCTTTTGCAAACGCTGGTGCCGAAAACCCCACAACATCCAATCTGGTTTGGGGCATTCACCCAGGCAGCAGAACTGCTGGGGCAACTCCAGTGGTAGCCTGTGGAGTACAGCGGTAAATAGAAAGGTAGTCCGTAACTGCTTGTCGGATAGGTCTCCTTTCGAGGAGTGAAACCTGGATGAAGTTCTTCAGAGTTCAATTGAACCTCTCGACTTGCCCATTCGCCTGGGGGTAATATACAGACGAATGAGACAGCTTGATGGCTCGGTTTTGAAAAAAGGTTACAAATTCACGTGAACTGAACTGCGGCCCATTGTCGCAAACAATCTCTTCCGGGTATCCTTCACGGGCAAAAACATTGGTTAAGAAGTCTTTCACGGTGCTTGTGGCCACTTCGCTGCAGAAATATATCTGTGGCCATTTAGAATGGTAATCGACCAGTGTTATAGCAAATTGGCTATTGTGAGGTGCATGTTCCAATGGGCCAACAATGTCTAGGCCCAGTTTCTGCCATGGCCTTTCAGGCCAGTCAATAGGCTGCAATGGCGCTGGCGATGTTTTGGCAAACTTATCTGCCTCCAGGCAGATGTGACAGTTTTTCACGGCAGATTCAGCTTGCTTGTCCATTCGTGGCCACTAAAATAGCTCACGAAGTCGCGCCTTTGTGCGCGTGATGCCCGGATGCGCCTCGTGGGCAACGGCGATGAACTGAGCCGTGAGTGAGGACGGAACAACGAGGCGTTCTGCGCGCAGTAGACGGTCATCAACAACAGAAAGTTCTTCGTGCACAGAGTAGAAAGGTTTTGCCTCCTCTGGTATGGACTTTTGTGGTGGCCAAGAACCGAGCACGAACGACTTGACCATTTGCAGACAACCATCGTTGAGGACGGCTTGCTTGAATTCTTCCTTCGTCACGCAAGCCGGCTCGACCAACGACACAATTTCTTCATCCTTGGCCAGCTGTGCCTGCGCGGCAGGAGCTGGCAGCCGAGAAAGAGCATTTGCCACCGTGTTGGTGGACCCCTTACAATACTCGACAGTGAAATTGTAGCATAGGAGTCGCGCATTCCAGCGTGCGATTCGAAGTGGCATTCTGCCACGTCCTTGCAAAGACAGCAACGATACCAACGCCTGATGGTCCCTTCGAATCTTGATATGGCGACCCCAAAGGTAAGTGTGCCATCATTCGCACGCCCAAATGCATGCCAACACTTCGCGTTCGCCGACCGAGTACTTTCTTTCCGCTCGTGACAAGGTACGAGACGCGAAAGCCACTGTGCGGAGCTCATGGCCATTTTGCTGCTTCAGAACGGCTCCCAGCCCACAGTCAGAAGCGTCGGTCGACACGATGACTGGAAGTGATGCATCAAACATGTGGAGAACTGTACTTGAAGAAAGCATTTCCTTGACCCTCCGGAAACTGCTGTCTGCTTCAGCTTACCAGATGAATGGCTCATTCTTGCGAAGCAGAACGCGCATAGGCTCGACCACCTGGGCCAAGTGGGGAACAAACTTGGAATAGTATTCTACAAGACCCAGGAATGAACGGAGGGCAGCAACATCTGTTGGCACTGGAGTGTTAACTACCGAGTCTACTTTCTCTGGAAGCGGCGAGATACCTTGTGCAGTGACCTTATGCCCTAGGAAAGAAAGTTCTGGAACGTCGAAGAGGCATTTGTCGTTCAATTTCAGGCCTGCGGACTTGATTTTCTGCAAGACCTTTGTTAGGTTCAAAAGATGTTCTTCTGCACTTTTCCCAAAGACTATCACGTCATCAATGTAGAACAACACACCAGGGCAGCCATCCAGAATTGTGGCCATCATCTTCTGAAATGCCGCTGGGGCGGAAGCTAACCCAAAGCAAACTCTCTTGAACCGAAAAAGACCTTCATGCGTGATGAAGGCTGTCAGGTCCCTGCTGTCAGGGTGCAAAAGAACCTGATGGTAGGCAGAAGCCAAGTCAAGTTTTGAGAAGTGTGTCGCACCTACCAAGGCATGAAGGAGTTCCTCTGTATGAGGCAACGGGAAGCTGTCTGGTACAATAGCCTTGTTAGGCTTCTGGAGGTCAATACAAATTCTGATGGTGCCGTCTTTCTTGTCAACGACAACAA